AGAGAGAGAGAGAGAGAGAGAGAGAGAGAGAGAGAGAGAGAGAGAGAGAGAGAGAGAGAGCCACCTCCAAGCAGAAAATGACAAAGGAGACAATGCTGTCCCCCAATTTTATTACTATTTGATGTTTGCCCGGAGAACTGAGGACCACCTTCTGTACTCTTTACCAATAAGTTGTGAACTCCTCCTTTCTGTCAGGTGGTGGAGATTTTGACATTATTTGGTCCTTTCTGGAACTGTCATGGTGGCCATCCTATTTAGGGGGGTCTTCACAACAAGTCAATACCATGTTAATGTGGGCAATAGGGTCAATTGCTGGTCAGAAGTTACCTTATTACCCCTGAGCTACTAAAGGAATATTCCTCCCCAGAAAAATGAAGACATCTTTAGCCATCTAATTCCTAGCTTCATGTCAACACCAATGGACCCTAGCAAGAGTTAGTCCCATTAATTCTTTTCTCTTGACATATTTCCCGGTTAGCCCCTTTTGCTTTTCTACAAATTAACTACAGCACTTTACTTTCTTGTTTACTTTGGAAATAGTTTAAAGAAGACTCTAAAGTGATTTAAAGAACACCTGTGACCTTGCCTGCATTTCACTGCTTATTACTAGCTACTACCAAACAAAGTAAGCAGAGAATACTGGCTCAGTGAGGTCCTCAATCTTAGCACAAGCAACTTGAAAAAGGCTGAGAGCTGATGGAACAGCTTGTTGCCACCTCTGAGGGCAATAATCAGAATAATCTCTTGTTTTTCCTGTTTGCTTTGAGGCAGTTAGTATCCCTTTTGGTCCTCATTGCACTTAGGGTATCCTATAGACATGCCAGTTGAGTGATTTTTAACTTGGTAATTGGCCTGTCTTGGTTCTGGCACTTTCTATAGCCTTTCAAACAATGTAACAAGACTTCTTCAAACTATGCTTCTGTTGGTTTTATTGGTTATTTCCAGTGTTAATTGCAATTTTTAAGAATTGGGGGCCTCCTTGATCCATATCATGCTTGGAAGCTGATTCAAAATGTAGAATAGGCAGCCCCAACCCTACCCCAACATGGTGCTGGGAACTTTATGCCTCTGAATTCAGAAGCACTGGGTTAAGCTTAGGTTAAGGGTTGCTCTAGGGAGCTCAAGATAAATTAATAATTTATTTCTTATAGAGAAGTCTGCTCAGAGGTCCAAATCCCTGACTTCTAAATTAATTTTTTAAAGTGGAGAACCGTCTGCAAAATGTTTTTCTTAATTAGCTACATTTTTCAAATTTACGAAATTTTCTCGTTTTATTACACCAATGACAGGCAAAAGAAGAACATGATCCCCTTCATGCCGACTTCTCAAAAACATTCCCAAATGCACTTTTATTAGAAATCACTGTTTTTAGGCCTAGACTGAAAAAAAATGTAAACACTTTGAATAGTAAGTATGGTGGTTGGTGATAAAATACTACAATGGTAATTATAGTCTATCTCCAGATTTCTAAATTAATATGTACAAACTTAATTTTCTAAAATTTAATAAATAAATAGCAGTAGGTCAATGTTGTCAGCATGCATGATCTTTCTAATACAAAATATA